ATGGATCATTCAGACAATACGTTCATTTTTCCCGTGTCATGCATGTATCTCCCTTGACTCCATAAATTGCCTTAGCTTGGTTTTTTAATCACCATCTATCAAATCATAAGCCACATCGAAAGGGTATATTTTTCGATGTTTACCTTTAAATATTATGGGTGACATATTGTCAGGAGCGGTAATATATTATCCCCGTGAATGGATAATGGTAATAATAATACGTTGTTACTGAGATACACGCATACCGTTTACTGACTGCTGACGTTTCATTGACGAGATCATGTGACGTCTGACTTCACATCCAGGCCTATATATAGCTAGGTTGATACAGTGTAATCAGTAATAAACGTCTTCATCTAACGTTGAATATAATCTCGCCCTCAATAAATGCATTCGTCCACACACTTCAATGTGCGGGTATCCTACGTGAGATCAGAGAATGACGTGTGTTAAAATATATAGTAATACATTTCCATGAAATCATCGGCATCATTACGGTATGCTAACGTTATATAAAATCTTTATTACTTTTTGTATAAACAGTTTGCTACATGGCCTTTGTGCAGTCTTTCGGAAACGGTCATTACCTTGTACAAATGGTCATCGCAAAGCTATAATTGGTATTAATGGCAATGTTCTTTGATGTTACCAAACGGCAAACAGTGCAGTCATTCAGTATATGTTTGATCATATTGACAACAGGAAGGTAGCAAAAGTGGGACTGAGATACATCGACAGATTATTTTTATTAGGAGACATAGTCACACAACATTGCAACGCTGAAACTACAGTAAAACTAATTTATCTTACCATCACTTGTCATATAAAGGTTTTAAAATATTATGAATACGACTTCATTATTCATTTGTGAAAAATAAGTTAAAAACCCTGAAATATGTTAGCGTCAAGCACGTTCGGAAAATAAAACAATATGGGTAATAATAGCGCGGTTTCACAATACTCATACTTGAACAATAAGTTTGTTATTATATTTGCCATGTGCATGTAGGTGTATATATTGAAAACGGTGATATATCAATGACATGACACTGATCGATGACTTTAGATTTGCATACAATGTTCATTTGAGATGTAAAATGTTAAACTTGCACTGACGATTTCTATCAGTATACATGTCACCGGGGTAAGCATGCTTGTAAAAGGTTTTCGACTGTTAACGACTGTCGGGACGGCCATTAAATATAAGTGTGGGCTGCATAACGTTCAGGATTTTATGTTAACAGATGCAAGGGGAATTTGATACAGCAATTTGGTCCTTTTTTTTTCATGCATGGTTTTGCCATTTCTGAAAGGCGACGCGCTGACATCTTATCTCGAATACAGGACAAAATATGCTCTATGAATTGTTTACCATGTACACCTACGCGGTGACCACCAACGTACATGTAAGAACTGATATCTGGAGCCATCGTATAGAACTGTAAGCATTACATGAAATATTGCATATATCTAGATGCTGAATACTGTATGAGCGTTTGAGGTAACGTTTATTTTCCATATATCCTCACACAGTATATATACATGTAGATGTAACCTGTTATCTAGTAAAATACACATTGTATAGATACAACAATACAACAGTGGGGAGTGAATATGAAACAAGTTGCTAAATAGTTGAGACTTTGATTTGTTCGTATGCAACAAACTACCCTTGGTTGCTAACTTCTAAACTATTTTTTTTAATACAAATAATACCAAATATCTACAATTTAATTGTTAAGCCAATCAAAATATGCTAGAAAAAATTAATGGATTCCATTTTCTAAACGATACAGTAATAGCACAATATAGTTAGTTTTACTTGTTGCATAAATATAATGGCTTGCTTTTGTTCTATTTCGATCCCTGACATGTATAATGCTAGCTTTATAATTAAATCAGTAAGATTGCAATTAAAAACGAACATCGAGTCACTTAATCGTCCGTCATCATATAACCCTACCTGTTACAAAGACGGAAAAGCGGACCATTTTTTTTACGAAGTCTACAAAACTTATTGAAATCCCACATTGAACTGCAGCATTTGATTACAGCAGTAACGAAATTTTCATAATTTATAGAACAATTTGTAGGTAGTGTGTTTATCTTACAGCATGTTAGAAATCTAGATATGCTTTTTAACACTTTGTCGTTATTGGCAAGAATTTGTAAAGACAAGTGAAAATTTCGATCCCGTTGTATGAGGGTAAGAGAATGAAGAAGATTCCAAATCTATTTTAAATGTTTTTTATTGGCAGTATTTGTTAAAGTACTAATTAAACGAGGTTAGGTGTAGTGCTGTGATGGCATTACTAGGGCGTTCGATTGTTTATCACTTTGGTAAAGGTTTTGCGTCCTCGAAACAGCTACGATTCTAGTAAAATGGCGTCCTCAGATGTTTAACCAAACTAAAATGTCATAACCTGGACACGATAGCATGACTTTCCCCCTGTTCGCATTATGCTAATGTCCTTTCTAACATCACCCACGTTCGTACAGGGACGGATTGGGATTGGTTTTCACCCTAACAGCTATACGGCACATGTCTACTGGTATACCTCCAAATGAAATACACGTAGTAAGTCAGAGGAAAAATAGGTCCCATGTGTTGAATAAAAATCCACGACACTACATGGGGTCTCATACTAGTCATACTGTGCTATCATTTATTGCTATATAAGGGGCATGAACCATTTAAAATAGCTCAGAACTTTAGTCATTATTATTAAAAAGAACGAAAACCATAACGTCGATTATTGCTATGTGTATCTATGAAGGTTGATGTGTCTAATGTTTCTCATTTGCGTGCCTTGTTTTGTGTCACTCGTCCAGTTTTCGCTACGATGGAGTGACAGTACTTGGATTTTATCTAGAATTATATGGTGGGTGTCGTCATTGCAGCAGAAAACGTTTACCATTACGAAATACCTGGCCTTATTATTCTTTCACTTCCTTAACGGCTTCCAAATAAATCTGTCCTTTGTTCATGTAATGTCCAATTTTATTGGATTTTGGTTTGCTTTGTTTGTGCTTTACGACATATCCACAGCTATGGTTATCAAATGACGTGTCAGGTTTTGGTTGTGAAGGAAACCAAGAGAAGCCGGAGGAAACCCAGCGGCCTGCACAGAAAGAACCCAACGACTACCTCATGTATTGTACAGTTTAATACTTATGGGTGCATATGGCTACTAGAACATGTTCATTGTACAGTTCATTGTAATACTTGTCGATGTATATGTTAGATTTAGGACGTGTTGTTTAGTGTACATTGTAATACTTGTCGGTGTATATGTTAGATTCATGACGTGTTTATTGCACAGTACATTGTAATACTTGTCGGTGTATATGTTAGATTTAGGACGAGTTGTTTAGTGTACAGTGTAATACTTGTAGGTGTATATGTTAGAGTTAGGACGTGTTTATTGTACAGTACATTGTAATACTTGTCGGTGTATGTGTTAGATTTAGGACGTGTTGTTTAGTGTACAGTGTAATACTTGTAGGCGTATATGTTAGATTTAGGACGTGTTTATTGTAGAGTACATTGTAATACTTGTAGGCGTATATGTTAGTTTTAGGACGTGTTGTTTAGTGTACAGTGTAATACTTGTAGGTGTATATGTTAGAGTTAGGACGTGTTTATTGTACAGTACATTGTAATACTTGTCGGCATATATGTTAGATTCAGGACGTGTTGTTTAGTGTACAGTGTAATACTTGTAGGCGTATATGTACAGTACATTGTAATACTTGTCGGTGTATATGTTAGATTAAGGACGTGTTTTTTAGTGTACAGTGTAATACTTGTAGGCGTATATGTTAGATTTAGGACGTGTTTATTGTAGAGTACATTGTAATACTTGTCAGTGTATATGTTAGATTAAGGACGTGTTGTTTAGTGTACAGTGTAATACTTGTCGGTGTATATGTTAGATTTAGGACGTGTTTATTGTACAGTACATTGTAATACTTGTCGGTGTATATGTTAGATTTAGGACGCGTTTATTGTACAGTACATTGTAATACTTGTCGGCGTATGTGTTAGATTTAGGACGTGTTGTTTAGTGTACAGTGTAATACTTGTCGGTGTATATGTTAGATTTCGGACGTGTTGTTTAGTGTACAGTGTAATGCTTGTAGGCGTATATGTTAGTTTTAGGACGTGTTGTTTAGTGTACAGTGTAATACTTGTCGGTGTATATGTTAGATTAAGGACGTGTTTTTTAGTGTACAGTGTAATACTTGTAGGCGTATATGTACAGTACATTGTAATACTTGTCGGTGTATATGTTAGATTTAGGACGCGTTTATTGTACAGTACATTGTAATACTTGTCGGTGTATGTGTTAGATTTAGGACGTGTTGTTTAGTGTACAGTGTTATACTTGTAGGCGTATATGTTCTATAAAACCCCTACTTATCGTACTTTGATGTGATTTGTTTTTGGCCGTTTTTGAATCGGTATAATATGGAATCCATCAAATCAGACACATATTTCCTTACTCTTACTTTCAAATAGTCAGGCGTTTTGACATAATACGGACAGAAACATGTTAAGGAATATTGCAATCTATTCATCTTGTCAATATTTGTCTGATATTCTGGCGTTCTTAATAGTACATGTATGTTTTTCTCGGTGATTTTAAAATAAATCTGGAATGTTCCATCATGAACTACTTGCATAAAAAGTGTATATATAGAAAATAATAACCTACCCTATGCATGAGTCCCAGCAGCCCTTGGCGACAGTTTCTTTGACCCAGAAAGTATACGAGACATTTTGAGTGCTCGTTCGCTTAAGGTCAGCTCAACTCTTGATTGATCACTACTGAACACGAAAGTTTATCAATTCCTTCAAGGACAATATTGTGTTGTGCCTGTGTCATGAGGGCACTTTATGTAATTGAGGCAAGCACACGCTTACAGAACCCGTGTCAGATTGTGTATCACTCGTTCTTGTAAAAGTCATTAGATTAATAATTTCTCTAGCCTCTTACCTTTACCCTTTTGCTGCATCTTTCGAAATGACGACGGCAGTTCGGATTCCATACTGGATCTGGTGGGCGTAAACGCTTTTGAAAAGTCAGCTAAAACGAGAAAAACAGAAGAAAAGGTTAAAATTAAGAAATTTTCCAAATAAATTTACAGGCTGATACATATATACTATTAGGTTTTAAGATTTTTTTAAACTTTTGACGATGTTTACCAAGTAAAGTAATCAGTCACTTTATCTGAACGACATTTTATTTTTTCTAGAAAAAAAATATGCTACAGGCTGATGATCAATTTTGCTCACATCTATGTTGTAAGGCCCCATTGTGTCTAATTAGGAGTAGTAATTGGTTCACGGTAGTGTCGCTAGGTTCTAATACAGTAATGGCTTTAGCCTTCCTGTATCGGAAATGTCAACCGGTACGCTACATACATGTACATCCAATGATTTCCCGTGATTACCAATATGGAACCATTATTTTAACCTTGGCATAAACGATGTACATAGTTAATTCAGTTTCCTCTCGCGCTGTAAATATTTCATGAATGATAAACACTGCACTGTTTACCATGTTATGATTTATGGTGTTTCCTGTATACAAAGGGGATGGTTGGTGGAGTGGAAACCGCCGTTAGAACTTAAAACACAAACATTCATTAAAGGAGACACCATTCAGTAGGTATTGCACCAACACTGTTCGCGTGAGTATTCTCTAGGCACCAAATTATACACAATACCTGACATTTCTCCCGCGGACACAAATCACCATAGACAGATAAAGTATGCCACAGGACCCTGGGGGCTTGCCCTCATTGAACTCGTCCGTTTCATCACTTAGAACCGAGTACCAAGTCAAGCTGTCAGTGATCTTTGCCGACCTACCTCTCCCTTATGGACAGCGCATAACGTTTCAAAGACGATCTACTTTCGTCTCGCTAGCTTGCGATTTTTCATTAAAGTATACATACGGTAAAACTCGATAAACTAAATGCCAGTATACAGCTTTTAACAAATTAAATTCCATCTGTCGATATCCCTTTAAAATCTTATCGTATTGCTGAACAATTATTCCCGATGAAAGTGACGTTTTATCTCGGAAAAGGTCCATTACGTACAAGTTTAAGCGTCTCTTCCAATGATATTCGAGATCATGTTATAGTGACACGTGCTTAACCTGTCAGTATAACTGACGTGCAGAAAAAAAGACTGGAAATAAGCAGTATCTGTTGATGGTCTCCGTATGAAGCGAATCACCAATGCTGGCACTGTTGATATTTGGACGTTTATGGTAGCGCGTTTCGATAATTACCTTTTGCACCGGTAAGAAAAACTTCACATTAAGGCCAGTGTTATGCAAATACAGTATATAAGAAGTAAAAATAACTAAATATGTTTCGTCTAAGATGTTCAACTTTGCTGACTGGAACATTTAACAAGCAGTAACAGTTCAAGCCAATCCAACCCTTGTATGTCTACAGCCGATAAACAGCTACGCTTAGAATGAAGATCATATTGGAGAAACTTCAAGAATCAACTTAATCCTATTCTGTGCCCCTGTCCAATAAATGACTCTTGGGAAACCAAATGATAACAGTGACATTAACACGTTTAATGTACGTCCCGGCAATACTAAGGATAATAGGACGCGACAAAACTAGCGATGCAGAAGCCATGTTTAACGGTTATACATGTACCCAGCCAGCACTGATCAGTTCTGTTCACACGTATATTGATCTCTTTGTCTTTGGTTTGTGCAGGGCTTGGTTTACTATACCTAAATTCGAATTTTCTTTAACGATAAACATTATGTGGAGGAACAAGATACAAAATAATATATAGTGATTTTACAAGATCAGCTCATCATTTTCTCTCGGAATGTGTGTGGTTTTGTGGTAAAGCGTCTCGTACACAGCAACTGTGGAGTGACAAGGACATGTTCTCGGGCAGCGATAAGAAGGATGCTGTGAATGGTTCTGATCAGTACATGCAGGAAGTGTTTGTTTACGATTAAGTTCCCATGAACGAGCTGCTTGCTTAATCGTTTATTAACGAATCTTTGGCACTACCAGTGCATGTTCTATATATTGCTCTCGTTAGGTTTTGCTCACACACTGTTTTAAACGTCCTGCTAATTTTACCTTCACACTTCATTATTCAAATATCAAACACTATTAATGTGCATTAGAAGGTACGGTTGTCTAGTTGTAGGACGACGGGCTCGTGACCGAAGGGTTGCGGGTTCGAGTCGCGGCACGCAATGTGTTGTATCTTTGAGCAAGATACATTACTTGACTTGTTCCAGTCTACTCAGCTGTAAATGAGTACGTGGTTGGGCAGTGCTAGAATTGTAGAATGCTAGCTGTGAGAGCCTAAATTGCAGCACCGGCTGTATGCTCCCCAGGGAGTTGAGAAAGATATTGGCTGGTTGCAAAGGCCCTATAACCACGGATGATAATTTGTGAACCGCTTTGAGACGGCCTTCGAACTAGGTTGTGATAAAGCGGCATATACAATAAATGTTAGAACTTTAAATTATTATTTTCATTATTACATGTAATGTTAGTGGGTGTACTTTGCAGCGACTATATAAAGGGTGAAAAACCAGTACCAAAGATGAGTGCAATATGTATACACTTCAGATACGTTACTGCAAAATAAAAAAATGTTATTGTTGGTATTATTTTTACGAACATTAAACAATGCAGTGATCCTCTTCAATTCAAATATAACGGATTGCTCATGTGAAGAGCGTTGAAGAAAATCTCTACAATATCCTTTTACCTAAATACACGTTGTTTTTATTGTGACGTCATAATGAAAACAATGGAATGACGTCACGTTAATGCATAGTCAATGCATAAGCCCACTTGATTAATATTACATAGATTCTACTTAAAAACTTTGACAGAAAAAAACACCCTTTTTTAGGAAGACACTTTCTGAACGAATAAAAGCTGAACGTTAAAATCACGTGATTTATATTATCACCACGACATGACTGCCATGTGTGAGCATCGTCTTAAATTTCAAATAATATTAAGCGTTGTTTCGTTGACACCTGTTAACAATTTATAGACATGTCTATCAAGTAAAATATCTAAATCTGAAATTTCTCAATAAAACAAGACTCTCAAATTTGATAATGAGTCATAACGTGATCACAAATATTGGAGAGAAAAAAACAAAGAAAACCAATAACGTAACAAAATGTATGTTATTTTGCTACCTGCCCTCTTGTTATGCCGAACACATGCATCAGACTGCGGAGATCTTCGGGACACTTGTTTCCTGATTACTCATTGCCAGTAACAATGTATTATTCAACTATAAAACGAGCACAAACTAAACCGGATTTAAAGAATATCAAACAAAGAACGTGTCGACATTGACCTAATCTCAGTGTCTTTGCCTGTTGTTATTAATTTTCATTTAAAGGGAGAAAAAATCAATGTGTCTCCTCAATGCAAAGAATAAATTGCCTCCCCTCACGATTGCAATCGGTTTATAAAGCCTGTGTGAGCAGGCTAGAGCCAAACCGGGCCATATGTCTGCTCAAAAATTTAATTAACTATTGACCAAAAACAGAACGCTGCAAAACCTGAATCGGAAATATCGTAATCTACAAAACGGGGTATTGGAGGGGATTTTATGATGCGGATAATTGTACATTGATGCTTCAACTTTCGTTTATTTCAATTACTGATAGCAGCATTACAAACTACCCACTCGGCCCTTCTGATGCACTGCGGGATTTAGCTACACGATGCTATGTCCGCTGGAATAGAACCGGAACACGTGAAATTCAATATCATCTGTCAATTCGCACGTGTATTGTAATATGTATGCGTATAACAGCATTACGTTTTCCGTTTATATATGAGTATAGGAAATATTAAACATGATACATGTACTAACATCTTAACAATTAGACTATCAATATTACAGATTTAACTTTTTTACATGAACAAATATACACCATGTGCATATGTCCGGAAAGAAGGCGCGCGGGAAATACTATTCAATATAATTGCATAAAAAAATTGAACGCCGAATTACCTTGTTATAGACATGCCTACGCACATGTACAATCTGATATAAACCTCATTATTGTTATTTTCGGGCTTCTTTTCATGTTTCCTTGTAGTTATTTATACAATGTACATCAAATTTCCAGTAATTCGTTAACAACAACATTTAATTGATAAAATGTTAACAAAATCAAACTTGTTCCCCTTACATCTGCTTTTTTAGAGCTCTTATATGAAGCTTAGCTGATTATCATCATAATGGTATTTTTATGTAACACAATCTTGTTGAAGACTCTTTATGTAACAGAGGCCATTATTTTTAACCGATATATCAATAGACTAGCATGTACAGACTGTAATCCACAGTCCCGGTTCTACTCCCAGGTGAGGTAAAGCGGTCACGGTTACATATACATTTAATACGCAAAGCTACACATTTTATATGTACAATGTGACGTTTGTCTTAAATTTATTAAGAATACAAATATCTTCTGACTGGGGGACCTTATTTACTTAAGTCTGAAACATCTTTTGCGGTACAATCTACAGTATATAAATATGCTTTTTTGATGGTTCGTACAGTGAACTGCGTTTTGGTTCAAAACCAAAATTGTACAAATATTTCAAAAATAGTGCAAATATGTCCGAAACTATGGTTTTAGTTTCGTGTCCTTGAGGGTAAGGGATATATATTTCCATGCATCATAAGACAACTGATGTAGGTTTTGTTTAAGGACTAACGTGATCGCAGCAGCCAAATGTATATGGTAATAGGTGCCTTTGAATACACCGCTGTAAAACGTTAGGTAGGAGAGCGATACAATAGCACAGAGGTGTAAAGTGTTGCAATATGGGTAGCCAACTTAAGTTTCAAGTTTCCTCAATATTCCCTTAACAGTGGACACAAAAAAAAAAACAACACCTGCACGGGTCCCTCATCAGTCCCTAATGCGGTAGCATGCAGTGAGACACAGGAGGTCTATTATTGCCTCTAACCTACAGGGGATCCAGCAGGACAGCCTTGACACCACTGATATAGATAACGAGTAATGAGAGATAAACGTAA